ACTGTCCCACCCCATTCCCATGGACAAACCTGGGATTTTCCCCAAACCAGGAAAAGATTTTTCGTAGCATTATGGCGTTTTTTGACAATTCGTATGCATGCAAATCTGTGTGTATTCGTAATTTCTATTTTTAAATAAAACATTAAAATTTGGTTACAGTTTCGTTGTGGCAGCATCAGGCGGGCCAGATTGAATTACCTGGCGGGCTGGATTTGTCCCGCGGGCCGTATTCTGCCCAGGTCTGCTCTAAATACATTTCGAGCTCCGCTTTAATTGGAGAGACCGAGTTACCGGTATCTTTTATGGTGAGTTTCACGCCTTAGGTGTTGAGACAGATTACAATTGGACGGGATTATTTAAGTCCGCGTCAGCGAGACGCTTCGACATTTATAAGTTATGTCGGATTTTTTGTACAAAACCCTCGCAAAAATCACCCGCGCAAATGCTAAAAATAAGAATATTACTTACATGAAATTGGCTGTCATTGCGAACACAGTGTATTTTACCTGCGACCGTAGCCCACTACCTCCTACATTGGCAATATAATCATTATAGAATTCCAGTCATCCGCAAAGCCAGAAAACTTATATTGGAACTGACTTTTGAAGAAGTGCTTAGTAACATGGACGTTAATGAAACTGTTATTGAATTTGTTTTATCTACAAGCATAAATATTTAAGAGTAATTACTTGTTATAATTTGTATAATTATTTATTTGTAAATATTGTATATGTTTATATATATAGGAATTTTTTTAATTCGAATTGATAAATGGCGTAAAGAACCGTGGAGGTTATAATCGCCATAAAACATATAACAACATAATTATCCGGTCAAGGTTGGAAAAGCAGATTGCGCTGGAAATACGATTTTTCAAATCATTGCTAACCTTAAATGAATAATTACTAATTTTCTATTTTAAAACGTGACGGGCGCGTTTTTTTGAATCTCATATTTTTTGCTTTAGTGACGACGGCTTTGTACAAAATATTTGTCGCCCAGTCAAGCATATTGTATAAAATACTTTTTGCTTGAATGACTCTGAAAAAAAAAAAAAGGCTTTGCGATCTTAGTTTTAGAACTTTATCTCGCTTGGGTTGGCAGGCCCGATTGCCATGCTCAATCTGGACATATAGACTGAACGTAAGCAGCAAATTAATACTGTCCCAAATTAAATGAAACCCATTCATTCGATTACCATTTAATACTAAAACAAAAGACGTTAAAATGTTAACATTTTCTGTGAGCTCATATAATATAAATTGAGCACGAAAAGTTTGGGGCCTTTAGCTAGCTAGACTTTAAGGTTTGTTTAAATACACAGGGTCAAAATCAATCTATTTATTAGCAATTTTGTGGTTTCATTTATCGCGTGACACCCTGATTCGCCGTTTCGGGAGTTGTATGCTACAGGGGTTTCCAAACTGTATGCTATTATGCATCAACTACTATGCGTAACAATGGTGCCAAGTTTATTTTTTTGCGGCAAACGTGAAGGAACCAGAGTTTCGTTTCGAAAATAAAATCTCTTTTTGATTTCAAAAGACCATAGTTTCAAAAATGCTCGGCCCTACCCACCCTTGCAACCGTGCATTGAAAACTGACAGCTTTGGGATTATAGAGCAGGGGTGCACCACTCGAATGAGAATACGTGCAAATTTTTTTTTTAAATAATCTTGTCGCGTGCCACTCACAATCGTGGTATTGCAAATGAACTCCCGTAAAACAAACAAATTGCAATAACAATACATAGTAACGAACATCTTTTTATTGAAACAATTCAATGTCCTGAAAAAAAAACTGCTGATTTTGATATAAACGTGATATTTTAATGTATATCATAAATATTTCTTTATTTTACAAAACCGTTCGCGTGCCACGTTTGAGCGTAAGGCGTGCCAAATTTGGCACGCGTGCCTCGTGTTGTGCACCCCTGTTATAGGATCACCATATTTGAAAAAGCAAAATTCTGGACAGGTCATGACCTCGTAGTAAAAAATATGCGCACGGTACGAAATAACAATGTTCTTTATTATTTGAGCATTTTTTAAATTCATCCCGGACGCAAAGTTTAACCCTGTCCGGAATTTTCCGGACGGTAGGGCGACCCTATGGTATTACAAATAACGATTTAATAACGGCGCTCCAGAAGTGTGTGTACCAATATGGAGGTAACTACTTTTGTTCGCCTACTTTACATTTTAAGTTGTGTAAAGGGACTGGAGCCTATGGGCAGAGGTATATTCACTTGGCTAACACAAACAGTCCCCGAACTCGTAAAAGAACTAAAATATGGAAAATCGGAATAAAATTATGGCCTAACCCTAATTACCAACTATAATTAAAATTCAATAATTTAGCCGGCATACTCATAATTTCAATTAGCCACCAAGGGCTGGATTTAGGCGACGGTTATTGCGTATTATTTTTGTGTGGTTCGACTATAACTAGTTTTGTCTGAAAAAGTTAAGACTATAATAAAATCGAACTGCGGCCCGCGGACTAAATCCGGCCCGTTGGGTAATTCATTCTGGCCCGCCTGATGCTGCCACAACCAAAGTAAAACCAAATTGTGATGTTTTAGCTCAAGAAATTTGTTGAGATTGCGATTAAATTTAGTTTAGATTCCCAATTTTGCTTTTGTAATCCTGTAAATATTGTTCATAAACTTTTTACATCACATTTACATGACCCGCCAGTCTGGGTGAATGAAATGTGTGGCTCTTGGTCCAAAAACCTTGTACACCCTTGACTAACTAAAGCTGACTCATATGCCTGCTATTTCATGGAAAGAGATTATGTTTATAATACTAACTCGTCCAAGCATCTTTGCGGCAACTCACACATACGGATCCGAAGTGGAAAGTAAACAAGGAGAAAGTCAGTGGCGTAGCATCCACCTCCGCGAGGGCCCAAGTGGTTAGAATTTAGAAATTTAAGCCGTAATACCAAAATCTGCATTGTAAAACCAGTAATGCACATCTTATAACGTTGATGTTAGTTCTGCTAAAACGTACTTGTTACGTAACAATGCCAGGAAGTCGTCGTTTGATCGCACCGGCAAAATTACGTAGGCTGTCAGAACGATGTCGAAAGCAAAACCTCTCAGTGGCGCATAGAAACGCAGAAAAGGAAGCATGTTTGAAAAAAATTGAAGTAACCAAGAGGGGGGGGGGGGGTTGCACGAGAGTCTTGCTACGCCACTGGAGAAAGTACTTGTAGTTTAGTTAGGTACATAATACTCCAGTACCCTTTTAAAGTTATTCCATTGTGATTTGGGAAATTAATAACCTTCGATTGATATTAATGCGTTTCTAAAGCCAACGAGGCTTTGTCGATAGATGTATACGCTCCCATCTTCATATTTTGATAAGAATTTTAACATTTTGCACAACACCGAATGCCCGGCGGCTGAGTTAGTGCGCGTAATGCACCACCCTATTCCTATGTACCAGTTTGGGCGTTTCACCTAACTTTGCCTTCGCCCTGAATTCTCTTACTTCCGAGTGATTTTTCGTAACTTTGCTCAGAGATGAGTCTCCTTAACTTCTGAGCGAGTGCCTGTAACTTTGCTGAGAGATGAATCTCCTTTACTTATGAGTGAGTGTCTGTAACTTTGCTCAGAGATGAGTCTCCATTACTTCTGAGTGATTGCACTTAACTTTGCTCAGAGATGAGTTTCCTTTACTTCTGAGTGAGTGTCTGTACCTTTGCTCAGAGATGAGTTTCCTTTACTCCCGAGTGAGTGTCTGTACCTTTGCTCAGAGATGAGTCTCCTTTACTTCTGAGTGAGTGTCTGTACCTTTGCTCAGAGATGAGTCTCCTTTACTTCTGAGTAAGTGTCTGTACCTTTGCTCAGAGATGAGTCTTCATTACTTCTGAGTGATTGCACTTAACTTTGCTGAGAGATGAGTCTCCTTTGCTTCTGAGTGAGTGTCTGTACCTTTGCTCAGAGATGAGTCTCCTTTACTTCTGAGTGAGTGTCTGTAACTTTGCTCAGAGATGAGTCTCCTTTACTTCTGAGTGAGTTGTCTGTAACTTTGCTCAGAGATGAGTCTCCTTTACTTCTGAGTGAGTGTCTGTAACTTCGCTCAGAGAGGAGTCTCCTTTACTTCCGAGTGAGTGCACTTAACTTTGCTCAGAGATGAGTCTCCTTTACTTCTGAGTGAGTGTCTGTACCTTTGCTCAGAGATGAGTTTCCTTTACTTCTGAGTGAGTGTCTGTACCTTTGCTCAGAGATGAGTCTTCATTACTTCTGAGTGATTGCACTTAACTTTGCTGAGAGATGAGTCTCCTTTGCTTCTGAGTGAGTGTCTGTACCTTTGCTCAGAGATGAGTCTCCTTTACTTCTGAGTGAGTGTCTGTAACTTTGCTCAGAGATGAGTCTCCTTTACTTCTGAGTGAGTGTCTGTAACTTCGCTCAGAGAGGAGTCTCCTTTACTTCTGAGTGAGTGTCTGTACCTTTGCTCAGAGATGAGTCTCCTTTACTTCTGAGTGAGTGTCTGTACCTTTGCTTAGAGTGGAGTCTCCTTTACTTCTGAGTGAGTGTCTGTACCTTTGCTCAGAGATGAGTCTCCTTTACTTCTGAGTGAGTGTCTGTACCTTTGCTCAGAGATGAGTCTCCTTTACTTCTGAGTGAGTGTCTGTACCTTTGCTCAGAGATGAGTCTCCTTTACTTCTGAGTGAGTGTCTGTACCTTTGCACAGAGATGAGTCTCCATTACTTCTGAGTGAGTGTCTGTACCTTTGCACAGAGATGAGTCTCCTTTACTTCTGAGTGAGTGTGCGTAACTATGCTCAGAGATGAGTCTTCTTTTCTTCTGAGTGAGTGTGCGTAACTATGCTCAGAGATGAGTCTCCTTTACTTCTGAGTGAAAGCGTGTGGCTTCGCTTGAGAAAGCCCTCTGGCATTAAAAGAAACATCCTTTTGAAAAATGACCAAACTAAAACTCCTCCAACTCAATTTCATTACAGCCGTGCAATCAGAGAAAAATTAAAAAATTTGAACAAATTAATATCATATTTGCTATCAAAATTGAGCAGTAAAATCAAGTAGAATTTCGATAAATTAAAATTGTTACAATACCCTTTATTATATAACAAACATAAATCAGAAAAAGGGGGTGGAGACGTGCTGACTGAGGGTAGGGGGTTTGAATTAATTCATGAAGTATACTTAGGAAGTTTCGGGACACATATCCGATTTCTACATAGAAGCAGTGGGTTGGGACTTATTAAGAGAGAAAACAACTTTTGAAAGAAGTTTCAAACTCAACGATGACCTAGGTATTGTGGGGTGTTTCGCTTCCCAAACTTGCTACCCCCACCCTTATTGGAATTATAACAAGGCATGAACTGGTTTAAACAGCCATGTAATAACATATAGCCATACAGTAATAATTGGGAGGGGACTTTCCCTGAACTGCCACGCCTACGCATAATTAAACTTGTAATGGGGGCGTCAAATGGAGCATTGTGTCTAAATAGGGTTTTAATAACATATCTGAAGAGATGGGGGCCTCTTCTAACCCACCCCCTAATGATAACAAAAGCATGAAATGGAACATTTGGTTTTAATCAGTCTCGTAATACCATATAGCAGCGGTTCCCAAACTATGGGTCGCAAAAGGAATCTTAGTGGGTCGTGAAAAGATGTAGAAAGCTTTGATTAATTATACTGGTTATTAGGATCGGTGGCGACTCGAATACGTAAATATCCAAAAAAAATAAAATAAATTGAATTTAAATTCTAATTCGTGAAAGTTTCTATTTCACGATCTTCCCAAAGGAACAAAAATTTGCTAGACAAAGAATGACCAATGACCAGTTTGGGAACAACTGCCATATAGTAATAATAGGAAAAGAAGGCTTTCCCTAATTCCCAATTAAACGAATAATGAGGGCCTCAAATGCAGTATTTGGTCTAAATAGGGTTTAACAGATCTGGCGAGATGGGGGCTTCCCCTAACATTTTACCCCACCCCCTTATTGTAACAAAAGCATGAAATTGAACATTTGGTTTTAAGCAGTATTATAATATTTGGGAGGGACTTTCCCTAAACTGCAACCCCCAATTAAACTTGTAACGAGCGCCTCAAATGAAGAATTGACTCTAATTAGCCCTCTGATAACATGTCTGGAGAGTTGGAGGGCCTCCCCCAACCTTTTACGCCCTTTTTAATAACTGCAGGCACAAAAAAAGCATCGCACGTGCCAGATTAAACGAAATTAAAATCTCATTTTACGGGCCACACAATTTTTCTTTGTGGGCCACACTTGGCCTGCGGGTCGCAGATTACAAACCCCTGGTCTAAATTAAAACCCTGCTTAAATGAAACTTATTGCATTGCTAATGAATCACTCTTACATTAAACTAAATATGAAACGATAATTTGTAATTAAAATAATTCACAAAAACCAACAGAGTATTGATAAAGGCCACCGAAGGGCGCTCATATATTCATAACAAGTATGATATAAATTACGAAAAATAGTTAAAATGCATAGATCGTTTCGTGATTAAGGTAAAAGCAATGGAGCAGAAAAAAAATGTAACGAGGGTAACCTCTAGTGGTTGGACATATCTAAGTCAGCATCGCAGGTGAAAATCTGGAATAAAATTTAATATCCAACGTCTCACCCAAGAGGAGCAATGGCGAAATGAAAATATCCCGGCCTGTATAAAATATAGTTCTATAAGTATAAGCTTGTGAGGATGGCCTTTTAGTTGAAGTGCTTGAGAGATTGCAGCTCTTACAGCTCAGGAGGGGGGTGTCCTGAAAGTTCTAATTTCCAAATCAGACCGTATCAGCTATTCGACCCCCTTGACTACTCACATGGCAGAAAATGTGTAAAAATATATCTAGATTTCGAACCTCCTGATGTATGCGCACCAAGATGGCGCACAACCTGGACTCAGGTTGTGTGCCAGGTTAGGGTTCAGGTTATACTTACTTCAGGAGTACCTATATTTCTTTAGTTTAAATCCGTTGCCCATTAGGTCTAAATAAATCAGGCTTGCTATTCTGAGCCAGAAGAAATCCAATTCTTCGAAAGATAATGAAAAGCCTTGCATATTGGCTCTTACACAGCCTTGTTCAGAGTGAAAAGATTTCAACAGACAATCAAAAAAAAAAAAATTTTTCAAGATTGGGGACCTGGGATGAAAGTTTTGACAACCTGGAATTGTGTGTGACTGATAAAACTGGAGAATTTGACAGAAATTCAACTAACAATTAAAATAAGGCTAGCATACGCAAAAGTTAATTTTATCAAAGCTTGTTTTTTCCCGGATTGGGGGAAATCAAATCTATGACAATCAGGATTCAGATTTGGATTTTCCTGGAGCAAACAGCCCAACTGGGAGAAAGAAATTTTTTGTTTTGTCAACCAAAATACATACAGTCATCAATAAATACAAAATTTAACAGAAATAAATTTATTTTGGTATGGACAGGAGGGGTCGTTACGACCATCGAAGCTAACTCCCCCTGAAACCAGGCTAATATGATCAAGTCTTCTGTGTTTTTCTCTTATCAGACTTAAATATAGATCAGGGCTACTCAACTGCGGACCCCGATCCGAATCCGAACCTTTCGAGTTTTCAATTTGGACCGTACTTAATTCTTTAATTTGGATCACCGGCCCCACTTTGGATATGTGAACGTTTGTTTTTATTAAATGACTTTTACGATTTTGAAGGTTATTTTATAATTTGCTCATATTTGCCCCTGACATACATGAGAAAAACAGTAACGACATATAAACGATGAAAATAGCGCGGCTAATATCTCGATTAGCAAATAATCATTATTCGGCTGAGGAGGTGTGCGTTTAGGGATGTTAAAATATAATTTCTAGAAAGATCAGACCCCAGTTTTAAGTTTCTTATGGAGATAGTTGGTTATCTCCGATATAGATAATCAGCCTATCAGAGGGAAATCCATCTTTGTGATTTTATCAATTGCTTCAAAAATAAATAATGAAAAAGAGAAATACTTCCGAAGGCGGGATCAGTACGATTGAAACTGTCATGTGATATAACAATACAATATGATAATAGTAATGTGATCTCATAATACCATAAATAGGAACAATAAGAATTCAATTATAATGTAATAAAGAAATATTGCTGGTGAAATATTAAGAAACAATATTTATGACTAATAATTGATAATATTTTTTGAAGTATGACCCTTTAATGATGTCATAATCACATATACTATGATATCATAAAAATAAAGTTAAAACTTATAGTACAGTTATTTATGAATACATTCATGCCAGTTTAAAAACAGTTTAAAAAAGTATCCTCTAGATGTCAGTAAGGAGAATATTTCATGCCACCCCCTAAGGCAACGGATGAATGATTTTGACATGCGACTTGGGGACATTCCCTACCGCGCCTGACTGGTCATGTTGAACCATCAGCCAATCAGAATCCACCACTTCAAGCAGGTAGAGGACGTCGTCAGTCTGTTAATGTGAAAGAATATTGTTATATGAGAATAGTGTTTGGTTTTTTATATTTATAACGAGGGGGGGAAAGGAAGGTTGATAAGAAGCTAATCCACAAGACGACTTCTTGTATGGTTTACAGAAATCGTCAAAGTCAAATTCATCGACAATAACAGTCATATAAAACGAACACCAGATATTTTTCGACTTTAAATTAAATATCAGAACCTTGGGTAGTTTAAGTCGGGGCTACCCAACTGGCGGTCCGAAAACGACCCTTTCGAGTATTTGATTCGGACCGCACCTAATTCTTTATTTTGGATCATTAGCCTCACTTTTAAAATTTCATTTTATAAAATGAGTTTTATTGTTTTGAATATATATGGAAAGAACTATAACACGATAATAAACAATCTTGATTTGCTAATAATCATTAGCCGGTCGAGGAAGTGTGCGTTTAAGGATGCCGAAATATAATTTCTGGAAAGACCGGACCCAAATAAATTTGAAGTTTTGTATGCGGATCTTCGGTAAAAATAGTTGAGCAGCCCTGGTTTACGTAACCATTGTTCGGTTCATGCATCTGAAAACAAATAACTGGCCAACTAATCCCGTACCCAACATGGACTGGTAACCGGATGAGAGGCCGTGGTTAGCCATATCATAAAGCAGTGGTCGGCAACCACCGGGCCGCAGCCCATCGCTGGTCCGAGGAAAGTTTACTACCGGTCCGCAGAAAGATTACATAAAAACGGACAACGTCCAAAAAAACACCATCACAATCTACCAACAACGAATCCCCGCGATTAAAATTTCAAATGATAATGAGTTGAAAGGAGTATTTGCGATATATATCTTGGCAGTCTTTTGCTCGGTACTCTTAGATAAATATTCAGACATTGCAAGAGAAGCTTCACAGACAGTGTTACTTTTTTATGCGAGGTCGGGTTTTCGATATTTACAATTACAACTGAAAAAACGAAATACTGAAACAGGGTTAACATAAGAAACACGTTACGTGTATCACTGTCGACCATATCTTCAAATTGGGAACAGTTAATGTTCAGCAAACAAATACAGATATCGATAGCATCACCGGTACCCCTGTTTTTGGAGATAATTTCAACATAAATTTTCTATCGCGTATAATTTACTACATAGGCTTAGTTCGTTTGTATAAAGGGGGTCCGCCAAAATTTTGGTCAGGCTTTACTGGTCCGTCATTTAAAAAAAGTTGCCGACCACTGTTATAAAGCAGCCCTATCATTACACCCCTAGTATGTATACCAGGTTACGGTTAGCCCATAATTTCATTCTGATTTTCCTTATTATAGTTCTATTACGAGTTTGACGACTGTCTGTGTTTGCCAAGTAAATATACACCCTGTCCATATGTTTCAGTTCCTTTACACAACTTGATGTAGGCGAACAAAATTAGTTACCTCCATATTGGTACACATACTTCGAGAGCGCCGTCTTATCGGCTGGCCCCTCCCTTATAATAAAAATCCTATTCTACAAACAAAAGTCATGCAAGAATAACAGGCAGAGAAGGATAGTTGACATACACACCTTAAAAGAGATTTCCTCACTAGAGGTCGCTGTATAATCTTTTATCGCAGTTGCCATTGGCTCTACAAAACCTCCCCCACCACTAGATGCTGATGTAGAGCCACCGACAGGTTCCGGAAGAGAGTTAGTAAAACCTATATATTAGTTCGTTAGTTAGAAATAGGAAAGAAACAAAGTAAATTAGTCAAAGAATTTTAATCAGAGTGGCATGCATTATCAGTTATCTGAATTTCACAACATTTTTTACCTGAATCAGTATTTCCAACTTGTCCTAAATCTTCTGAAATCTCAGCGTTAGTTGTAGCAGGTTGATAATCATGCTCCTGCACAAATGCTGAGGGGAACATTCCAGTGTTCCCATTGCTCTCACCTACGAACCATTCTTCATTTACTTCACCTGGATGAGAATAAAAGTTTCTGAGTGTTTCTAGATGGTTAAAGTTTCTTTAAGTGGGCGGTATTCAGAAAATTTTATTTAAAAAGGGCCGCACTACGAAATATACTTGAATTATCATAGTTCCAATTTAGAAGGTTGTCATTGTGAAAACGGAGTAAAAAAAACATTAATGTTATCGCAACGAATCATAGTTTAAATCAGTATTTCTCAACGTAGGTACGATTGAACCCCTGGTGTTCGGTGAAGCTGTTCCAGGGGTTTGACAAAAGTCCTTTGAAACATTTGTATATCATGAAGTATTTCTATTAGGCTATCCAGCCTATTATTTATGCAGGCAGCAGTTCCCAAACTTTTTGTTTGCGGAACGCCAAATTATCAAGAAAATAAACTTACAGCGCACTTAAGCGAGAAAAAGAATGTTGCCTTTATATGGAACTCAATTTTGTTATCGTTCATATGTACCGGTACTTTGTGCGATGCCTTTTAAAAGTTTGTAAACATGTAGGATTAAGAACTCATGTTCGCTAAACTTGGTTCAGCAGATGAAGAAACTGCAGCGCGCTAAATTGCAACAAGTAGTGTTGCAATCCGCCTACTTGGATCGTTGTCGCATCTTTCAGCGCTTACGCTTCAATCTCCTCATGCGCTTCTTTCTCCACTTAGGCCTCATCTCCTTTTATAAACTCGAAAACTGAGTCTCGTGGAAGATTTCACCCACGATTGCAAGTAACCTCTATTGTTATGTAACACCCTTTGGGAAAAAACTTGGGGGCCCAACACGATTGCAAAGATTAGGATTAAGTTTAGATGTGTAAAAAAAAAATCTAAATTTTTAACGCAATTGAAACACTGTTTCACAACTTTCACCAAAAGCAGGGGCAAGACGTAGCCAGAAATTTTCAAAGGGGGGGGAATCTGAAATTTTTTTGCCAAAATAAATCGAAACTGCTAGCGGGTTCGATCGAATGCTAGAATACGCGTGTTTCTATTAGTCTTGAGGTCTAAAAAGCATTTTAAACTACGGATACTTGCTAATTATGATACAGAAAAATGATTTTATTTTTATTACATTTCAAAAGGGGGGGTTTCGACCCGCAAAACCACCCCACTGAGCAGGGGGTACATTAAACGCTTTGTGGGGCGCATGAGGTCCGTGGGTCATAGTTTGCCCATCCCTGAGCTAAGCCATTACTCGGTGGGTGCTCCTCACGTCTGTTTCGGAAAAATTGACGAAATTTTTGATCTACAAAACTCATACCTGTGATAGTTATGATATCCCCTTCTTCAAAGCTCAACTCGGAGCCGTCCTGACCAGTGAAAGAGAATATTGCTGTGCTTGATCGACGAACCATGCCTGTTGCTGCGGTTACTGGTGATGATGTCACATTACTTGTAGTGATATTAGTATTATCTGTTATTGGTGGGGTAGTAGATGAGGCAGTGGTAACCTCATTGTTGTCAATAGCAACCGTTTCGGTTGGAACCGTTTTGTCTAAAAATTGATCAGAAACGTCAAAAAAAGTGTCACTAGATGAAGTATCAGAGTGTTTTTCGACTCTTGGGGGTTTCGGTGGGGATTTCCCAAGCATCTCGGCATCAATTTTTGGTTCAGCTAGGGTAAGATCGTCCAACGTGGGGACATCATCCCATGTTGGGAGGGAGGAAATATCGATAGCACCTGATTGGCTAATATTTGGGGGAGTGCCTTCAGATTGTGATTGCGATCCACCCAGTGGAGAAATATTTTGTTCTGCTCGATTAGTTTCCAGCGTCACGAAGCTGCACGGGAATATTCCGGATTTACCATCACACGAACCTTTGTACCAGTCGTCATTGACAATGGTTACCATGGTGATTTTGTCACCAGCTTTGAAAACAAGTTCGTCATCTGCTGCGCCGTTGAAATCGTAAACCGCTGTTGCAGACAATCCCGAATTTTGCGGCGCTGCGTCGATCTCGTCATAGTGGTCAACTTCTGGGGAGGACTTCAAATCTTTGACCTTGCTGCCCACTTGTGGTGTATTTCCGCCAGGTGATTTTTTTGGTTGAGTGATCGCAGGCTTGGGTGCTGATCTAGCAGCAGCAGCAGGCTTAGCCTTCTTTTGTATTGGTAAGGAGGGCGGAGGACGAGATGGTTTTACATTCGGTTTTGAAGGTGCGGCTTGAGTCGGGGCAATCGTAGGTTGTTTTTCTAAAAGCGGGGGTTCGGTTTTAGAATTTGACCGTGGTTTTGGGGTTGGAGCATCGAGCAGGTTTACCTTTTTATGTACCGGGGAGGGGTGATGGTTATTATGATTGGTATTATTTCGTGGGGGCGGACGAGCTGGAGCTGGTCTTGTTGGTATTATTTTTGGTGGGGGTGGTTTTGCAGGCTTCGGCTTTTGTTGGGGTGTAGAACGTGTCACTGGAATCGGTGAATTTGTAATATCAGGTTCTGAAGATTTTGATTGCGCAATAACAGTAGAAGGTTGCGTAATATTGTTATTAGATTGCACAACAACACTAGAAGATTGCGCAATCAATGAAGAATCCCCCATAAGTGAAGCAGACTGAGCAGCAGGGGTTAAAGGTTGCTCAATAATTGGAATATCCATTAATAATGAAGATTGCGAAAACTGTGATGATGATTGCGCAATTTGGGATGGAGATTGCGCAATCACGAGTGCCGGTTGAGTATTGTCAACAGGGCTTATAAGTGATGACTGTTGTGCAGAGGCTCCAGCCTTTGCTGGTAACGCAGAAGGCCGAGGGGGAGGAGGCCCAGCTGGTCGAGGAGGCTTTGGCTTTTCAACACTAGGTTTCTTCGGATTTTCTCCATGACTCTTGTCTCCATCTGGTGGTGGGGATTTGATTTGTTCCGATTCGTTTTTCTTGAATAAACTCATCGTTTGTTGTTTAATTTTCATGCTTGTTCGTCGGAATTTTTTCTTCAATGATTTTTCCTCCTCATTCTTTTTCCGCTGATTTACGACCATAGCTTCGGAATGGGGGGCATCTTTACCCCCATCTGTTGCAGAGAAGACCACTGCACTCCCATCAGGCATTTTTGGGGGGTTCTTAGGAAGCGCTGGAGCACCAGATGGCGCTATATCCACACTTGGGGTGCGATGAATATTTTTCTTGGTCCGTGGTGCAGGAAGTACAGGGGGAGCGCTTGACTGCACCACATGGGGAAGTCCCTTATCTTTAAACCCCCCAGACTCGTACACAGGTTCAATAACAGCTGCGTCAGTTCCCTGGTTTTTGTTAGGCTGGGGGGAGCCAAATCCAAAAATATCTTCAAAATTGCCATCGTCAATTGAGGAATTCGAATTTTGGGTCAGAATACCCATTTTCTGCGATTTTTCTCTGTCTGCCATAGCTTTTGACATTTCTGTGGGAGATAGAAGATCTTCAAAATCCTCTAGTGGGGGTCGTGTCATGGGAAGGGGAGGAGGGGCATCCCCTATTTCAGCAGCCATCAGTTGATTCTTGCTTGGTTCCATCATGTCCAACAAAGTGGTTCCACTAGTTGGCGCCATAGTACTTGTTGTGGTCGCCTGGGGAGTGCCATTAATATTTCCCATGAGTAATGAGGATGGGCCACTAGGGAGTGCAACACTAACTTTTTCTGGAGATGATTTCTCCTCCCCAAGTTTATAATGAACTGTCTTTTTATTTGTCACAGCAGCATATACAGGTTCAATAACTGGGTTTGGGGAATCCCCAATATTTGGCATTTTTCTAGTCGGGGGAGTAGCGGTTGGGGCTAATAGACCCCCTGACATGGGGACACTTTGATTATCCATTGCAAATGGGTCTGAGGGGGTCAAATTTTGCACCCCCGTTTCGTTGGGTAAATTTTTTGGGAAGCTGCTTGTATTCGATACATCCATTGAAAAAAGATCTACTCCCTGTGAGGCCGAATTAGATGCATTAGCGCCACCTGATGGAAAAATTGGAAATGAATTGGCATCCGGGTTAAATATGAGCCCACCTGTATAAGCTGATTTTGTACTTGTTATCCCAACTTGGGACTGGTTGACTTGGGGAGTATTGGTAGGTGACATGACACCCCCTAGTGGAGGACTTGTTGGTGCATTGTGAGTAGGCGGTGATGTCTTCGGAACACCAGGTTTACGTTGTGGACCAACCGTAGGCCTGGGCGGAGGTGGTAATTTGCGAGATCCTGGACTTGGACTACTTGGTGGTGCACCAGAGCTTGAGGGTCCAACTTGGGGAGGCAGTTGCTGTGAGACTACTGGTTGCATGAGCCCCGGTGAAGTTTGTGACATTCCAGTTCCGAGACTTGGTGCTAATAGACCAATGTGAGCGTTCCCACTTGATGGTGGTAGAGAACCTGCATTATGATGGGCCAAAAGACCTGGTTGTACACTTGGTGCTGCCGGTGAGTTTCCGCTAATTTGTGGTGAAAGAAGCCCCTGTTGCATATTGCCTTTAGAGGTCGCCATCGAGTTTGCAACAGCTGTTGGGGAGGAATGGACCCCGAGCTGTGGTGGCATGTTTAGATTTTGATGTCCTTGTTGGGTATATCCACTTGAAGGCGATAATGAGTTTGTAGCGGTTGGAGGGGGAAGCAGTCCAGCACTTTGAAATACATTGGAATTATCTGGAACTGGTGCAACTTGAGGAGGGGTATTCCCCATTGTTTGTGCCCCACCAAACAAATCCCCAAGACCGGCGTAGTTACTTTGTGCACCACTAAAGGTGAGTGCACTTTGGGGAGGGGGATTTCCCCCAGCAGGCTTAGAAGTACTAGAAACTGCCCCAAATAAGTCGCCAAAAGCAGCATATTTGTCGTTTGAAGCAGCAGGGTCGGGCACCCTTGCCCCAGTGGTTGCATTCGATGCCATGGGTGAGAGAGGCGAAGACATATTTGAGGAGGGTGGAAAAGATTTCATTACGCCACCATGTGGCTGAATCGGTTTGCTAATTTGGTTTGGTCTTAATATGACGCCCCCTTGTGGCTGGTTTGATTGCAGCGGTACTGATGACGTCGAACTTTTTGTTGGATAGTTTTGGACTGGGGCCGGCATGTTGTTTATTACTCCCATTTGGGGCCCTATTGGGACATTTCCAGGGGGTAAATTGGGCCGCATTGGAGCAGGACCCATAGGCCTCATCTGTGGAGGAGTTTGCATTGCACCCCTCCCAGGATTCATAGCCCCTTGTGGATTTCCTTGCATCATAGAGTCAAACGCTAAAATATTATTAGTTTGCGTTTGTGATCGCATTTGTGAACCACCAGAGGGAGCCATGGGAGTTAGTAAGTTTGGTGAGGGCCCAGGAGCTGAGGGGTTATCGAATAGCGACATCACGTTTGAGTTGGGGTGTGAAGTCGGAACAGACGATCTAGCTGACATAGTTTTATTTTGACTAGTCGGATTGTCTGTAACTTTCAATTCAGATTCAAATACAGTGATTGCATGTAGATTGCGTCTCGCATGAGGTTTGGGTGTTTCAGTAGCAGTTAGTGGTCCCTGGGTGGCGCTGTTTGAATTGTCACTTTGCTTTGTCGTTGTCCGAGGCTTTGGCTTCAAAACTGGCTTTTTCGCTGGTAATGCGGGTGGAGAGTTGGTCGTATTGTTGCCAACTCTCGAGGCACTAGGTGTCGCTAGCGTTGACCGTGGAGCGTTGGGACTTTGATGTGTCTGAAAAGGTAAAACGGGATTTTTGAGGGAGAAAATATAAAAAGGAAAATTCTATTCGCTAAAACCAGGAATGGCTAAAACTAAAATATTCTAAAAGTCAAGCCAAGTGGATATACCCCCTGCCTATAGGTTTCAGCCCTGTTACCCAACTTGATGTAAAGTAGGCGAACAAAATTAGTTACCTCCATATTGGTACACATACTTCTGGAGCGACAAGTATTGAATATTCTAATTAGGTTATGGTATATATAACACGTAAGAGTTTGATGCATTTCATAATGCAGGAAAGCTGAGATTTGATTTGATGTCTATTTGCACAGTTTTCAAAAATTGAACAAAGTCTTTTTCGGAAATACTGCTTAAAATTTCAATTGCTCGAGTTGTAATTTTTTAAATGAAATAACGTGAATCATTCCCGAAACCAAAAATTTTGAGTCAATATACTGTGTTTGATTTGAAAACGCTCCGTTTCGTAGGGGTTTTAGTAATGTGAGGCGACACAGATTGATTCTTTTATATCCTCGGCGTTCTCATTATCCTGTGTTTGAACTAAAAAAGTTGGTACTTCCAAACTAACATAGCTCTTCACCTAGCAGAGGCCCTTTGTACAAAATCTAGTTCTGAGTTCGAGGAATGTAAAACGCCATATAAAAAATCAACCAAATAAAATATAACAAACCTGATCTACTCTAGATGAGCTTGTTGTTTTTATCCGAGTGGAAGGAGATAGAATATTATTACTATGATTTGTATTCCTCTGTCTTGGAACTGGGTTTTGTGATGTCACATTAGCACTACTAGATGCTCTTTGTGATGTGACAATAGAGTTTGATGATGTCACAGAAAAAACTGGCTCACTATGTGATGATGTAATTGACGGTGATGTCACGTAAAAAGTTGATAATGATGATGTCACAGTGGGTGTATGTTGTATCGTTTGTGATGTCACAGAATTTGAATATGAAGGTACCGTAATGACATCACTATTTATTATTTGGGTTCGAGGAAAAACTCTTCGTACTTCTGATATATGATCTGTAAAATAAAATAAGAAATATTTATTTCGAGATTCAAAAATTGAAAATAATAATAGTTGAGCAATCTTTAACAGTGCTTGGCAACAGTATGGACCAAATATTCGAACACTTTCAGCACTTTAAAGATTTTTTAATTAATTTATAATATGCAGTTTATAAAAATAAGACGTTCCGTCATACTGTGAGACTCAAATGAAAATGTTCTAAATTTTGCCTACAATCAAGAATTCATCAAAACTTTTCTGCACAACTTTCATTAGCTGGACCAGACCCTGGTTATAAACATGGGGGTTGTGAAACATTTTTTGTCTGTTGGAAAAATTTAGTTTTTCCACGTACAAAACGAATTAAAAAATTCTCACAACGAAAGTGCTATTGCTTAGCCTGACAGTAAAAAAAGGCACCTTGCAAAATTCCTAAAAATTCAACTCAGTGGATTTTCAGCCTTGTGCACCTTTTCAAACATAAACCCGTCAAATTTTAAGCTTGATGGGGAAAAATCTACAAGTGCAGTTTTAAGTATTCTGTGGCGTCTGCAGCTGCCGCAAAACCATGGCGGTATTTCCATACCATGGCCCCTACGGCCAAACCTATGGTGACTGACTTTTAAGCTGCCACAAACCAATGCAAGCTGCCGTTACAGCGGCAGGAAATTGAAAACCAATAAGGTAAAATTTTGCTGCCGTAACCACGGCAGGTGGGCCGTAAAGACAGGACTGTTCCTTATGGTGACAAGTATTGGGTAAGTTGGAAAGTTTTTCTTATGGATACAGTTTTGATGGATTTGGGGTTAGGGTTTAAGTGGATATAATTCTGCATGATCAATTAAAATCTGGTACATTAACTTGTGAATGTACCTTCAATACTGATTACTGAATAGCACTATAAAACCATGGCAAAAGCTGCCGCGGTTCGTTCGTGGCAAGAGCTGCCGCGGTTCGTTCGTGGCAGGAGCTGCCATGAAGTGGTAAGAATCGAGCATTGACAAGCCCCATACTACACGCTTGTTGCACACCCCTGCTATAAACAATCGACAACGATGCTACTATGAATCCTCTTCAAACTGAACTACTTTCTCGCTCATACTACACCCTGTTATAGAATCTGAAGCCTTTATAACTCACTGTATAAACTCTAGCTTGGGCTTATAATTACAATCCTTTGTTGACAGAATTTAATTAAAGAAACTAGGCCAGGAATGTCGATAGATGAATTATTTGATTATCTTGCATTTTGCTTTTGAATTGTTTCCATATTCAATATTCTAAATCTGTGTTTCCCAAATTATGACCCTCGCTTAACGATTTAATATGGCCCGCCGAACTTAAGGGAAATAGTTTCACTCTACCATTCTGTTTTCTCCTCCGAAAACAAATAATTTGTTAACTAATCCCATACCCGACATGGAATGGTAACCGGACAAGAGGCCGTGGTTCGCCATATGGATAAGCCGTCTTATCGGCTTTCCTCTCCCCCGGGATAAATATGTAAATCCTATCCTATCCTAAATAGCTTATGGTACACATCCTGTACACTCACGACAACAGCCTAAATACTGATCTAGTAAAAACGTTTGGCTGCACTAAGGAAGAAGGAAAGTTACCAGCTAAAACGCAGTCTAGGAATTCTTCCATATGTCTTTAAAAATGTATAATTTCCTTGTAATGCTGTGATGTAGTCTAATGCGCAAACACCATAAACAACTCAATCCGCAGATCAGTCAATGAAATAACAGCGGTGTGGCTCAACGGGCTAAGCGTTAGGAATACGCTCGCCACCGCACATCTAACTACTCTGCGTGGGTTCGCAGGTTTGAATCCCATGCAGAGATGGTTATGTGCGAGAGGATTGCTGGACTCCTCGCCGTCGTTGGGTGGTTCACGTAACCGCTGGTCGGTTACGGCTTCCTCCACCACCAAGTCCATTCTTCCGAAAACAAACAATACAGTAAAACTAATCCCATACCCGACTTGGAATGGTAACCCGACGAGATGTCCTGGTTCGGCATATGAATAAGCCGTTTTATCGGCTTTCCTCTTCCTTAAGATAAATACGTAAATCCTATCCTCTCTTAGTTCTGCATTCAACCTTCAGCTTATCTCAATCACGCTCTACCAAAACAAGCGCTACTACACTTCATGTTATTCCCCTGAGGCCACAGCTGCTCTTCGCTATTATTATTGATAAACAGAGATTTCTGAGGATGCTGTATATTAATTACCAAAATTAATCATTGAGGTGTGACTGGTCAGAATAATCTCATTCCATTAAGCAAAAAATTAACCATTGAAGCATGACTGGTCAGAATAATCTTATTACATTACGCAAGTGTCAGTGCTGCTATTTTTCTGGGTCATACCATTAAAATAAATCATTGGGACGCAACTCGTCAGAATAATTTTATTTAATTAAGAAAGAGCCAGTGGCGCTATTTTTGCTTGCTTGTTATCTGGGTTATACTAATAAAATAAATCCTTTGGGCGTGGCTGGTCAGAATAATTCCACAACATTAAGAAAGTGCCAGTGCTGCTATGTTAGCTTTCTTGTTTTCTGGGTCATACCATGAAAATAAAGCGATGAGGTGTGACTGGTCAGAATAACTTCATTATAATTTTATGCAAGAGTTGGCTATCACTTATTTTCTGAGCTCGATGAGGCATTGAAAAAGAATTTCTGCATTAAATCACAATGAGACAATTTATGATATAGGAACATTTAATGTGATATGTGACCTCTCTATTTTGACAATTCTCCTTTTTCACTAAATACAAATTACTATTACCGGCGCTCCAGAATTGTGTGTACCAATATGGAGGTAACAAATTTTGTTCGCCTATTTTACATCAAGTTGTGTAAAAGGCCAATGGACAGGCGGTATATTCACTTGGCTAACACAGACATTCCCCGAACTCGTAATAGAACCAAAATAAGGAAAATTGAATATAATTATGGCGTAGCCCTAACCTGGTACACATATTACAGGAGTACCCTACTTTCTACCCAAGAACATTAAAACCCCGATCGGGAAATGTTGCACAAGGCTCTCATGCCCAACTAAACTGAGCACAGTACCACAAGCAACACTTAATCACATGAACTTATTACATAAGACCAAGCTTGATACTTGATAATTAAAATTTGAGTTTATAAATTTGGATATAACCAGCTATTCAAATCTTTTAGTCACACAGCAAGACTGCTGCTATTAAAACAATGATAATCAATTTTCCTTGGCCAGGCATAAAAAAGGATGAATTGCATCTAAATTAGACACTTCGTCACTGGGCCTAACTTGATCTGGCATTAGACTGGATTGCATGAATCACTAAGGAAACAATGAATCGTCAATGCTGAGTTTGATGTTTTGATGATTAAGGTTTCAAAGAATAAGAGTGTCATTTGATACCTATAAAACAGGGTGTTCATAAAGTCACTTTACAATTTCCATTTTGTTACGAAGTCAGTTCTCAATATATCTTAACCTGGTTTGTTGTTTTTTATTCAGTAATTGTTCAAGTATTTTTACTTCATTTAATACATCTGTGATGGCCAAAACAATATATGGTCTCGATAAAATTCTCTTTGCAATTTTAAATTATTCTTAAGACCTCATGAACTTTATATAATAAGTTACGAAATACGACAAAAGGTAATTACCACTGACACTAGCTGACAACTATAATCGCTCTCAGGGGCGTACCCACGGGGATGATCAAAACCCCACTTTTGAAATGAAAAAAAATATTTTCGACAAATTGAACCGAATAATCGAATATTATTGCACAATCGTAAATCGGTGCTCCCGAAGTATGCGAACCAAGATGGCGGACATCGGAACGTAACATGGGTAACAGGTTAGGGTTAGGCGATAATTTTTTTCCAATTTTCCTTATTTTGATCCTTATTATCAGTTCGAAGACTAGCCAAGAGCCTCCCGTAGTATTTATACCTAAAATTATGGCCTAACCCTAACCTAGTACACATATTACATTCCGATGTCCGCCATCTTGGTTCGCCCCCCCTAAATCTGTCCCTATTATACAATAAACGCATGCCCTTCGATGTTGTGGTAACGCATGTGCAGTTACATCTTATTTACTGCTGGTATTTTGCAATACAATGTTTTCAGATTTATGAAAAGAGATCACACGCTTGTATGAACTGGTAAAAAAATTGGAGAACTCCAATCTAAGCTCGAAGCGCCGCCGCTTGCCCGATGAAAGACGTCCTGCAAAGCTGGTTTCCGCTTTATGTGCCTAATCCTAACGATTCGATTTTGAATATTTGGTTCGCTTGGACAGCCCTACCTGTAATCAATTTTTCAAACCTTGAAACGCTTCAAGGCCCCCAAGACTCTGGGAAACTAACACCTCCCGGCTGCTAGATATTACGTTCTAATTTTGCAAATAAAAACTCCAGGACCCTTGTAAATTCCTGCAAATCTATTTAAATGCTATCCTGTCATATCTTTGTCACAGTGCTCAACAATTTTCAGCAGATTCTTTTAAGAAACATTTAAAAGATTGATATTCTAATTTAATTTCTAAATGAGATTCTAGAACAGTGGTTCCCAATTTTTTTTAAGCCCCCCAAATTTTTAAAAAAATGATCAATTTTTACATAGCAGTTTTTCCTCAGGAATTACCTCAAAGTGAAGTGCTGCGCTTGTTTGCCATCAACGAGTTTTAAATATCCTGGCGTGGCTTTAAACAAAATAGATGCCTCAAATATTTTACACTGTGATACTTTTCATTTATACCAAGTATAATTGGAAGAATAAAATTCACTAAAAAATAAAACGAGAATATCGGCCAGAGACCGAAGACTTATCGATCGAAAGTTAGGGGATCCCCCAAATCAGCACTCTTACTCCATAGTGACACCTTGTGTCCCATCACTAATCAATTAATAACTCGCTAATTATACGACATATTTCGCCCAAAATCAATAGGCTTCTGGTTCGAGATAAGATGAATGTACATGCAAAATCTGGAGCAG